CTTAGCTGGTCCGTCTTACCCCACCTTCCCCTATACACTTTGAATAACATGCCATACAGCCTCACCATCACCACACTGCCGGCTGCCTTCAGAATCGCATTCAGAGCCAGATATAGCCCATTTATCAGCTTTTGCCCCTGTGCCCCTAACTCGAAAGTAACAACGCACAATCTGCGTGCGGGGAGATAGGCTAAATATTAACGGAGCTCCTTAAATCGATTCCCACCGGGTGTCCTTAACTGATAATAACTTCTGTTCTTTGCAAAAGAAGCCCGTACGCGGTTGGGATTAAAAGACTACCCGGGCCATGTTTACCCGTATTTTAGTGGATATAACTGCCTCTTTACCAGACCACACCTTCCACGACGATATTGACGCGTCAACGACCCACCAAATGAGCGGCGGCAGGCGGCGCACTGCGGCAAATGACGGCGCACCTGGCCACCGGGCTGACGGCGGCCGCGGCCAAATTGGCGCAGACGGCTTTCGGGCGGCTGTCATTAGCCGGGGAGAGCGGCGGCGAGTGCGGCGCGCTGATCCGAGTGGCGCTCCCCTCCGCAGATTGTTGCCCGACCTCTGTGGGGAGTCGCCAAATCAACGGCTTACCGGCCACCGTAATGCTGCCGACCGGTCACACGGCGGGCAGGAACGGCACGGAAACGGGAGCCCTCAGGGCAGAAGGACGGTGTAACTCTGCCTCGCCGAGCGTGTCGACAAACAACTAATATATTCAAGTGAAGTACCTAAGGTCTACCCATCTGCCATAAGCTTTGCTGGAAAAACCTTTTCTTATATATAAAAAACTTTTTTATATTTTATGGAAATAATGGATTAACATTGTTAATCCATTATTTGGGGTTAGGATGCATCCTGTCTCCGTCATTACCGACCTTTATTTCTAGCCCTATCGTGTTTTACAGCCTGTTGAAGATTGATTTAAAAGTTACCTATGATGTTCGGTATTGCCTTTGCATGATCGTTAATCAAGGAGCCAGCTTTGAAAAGCTGGCCGTGAAAATTAAACTGTATGTTTTCTTCTAGGATTTGTATGTTTACTACTAAGATCGTCCATTTCCTGCTCTGACGCTGTATAAGCATCGACTTTTGCCTTCTTTGTATAGGGCTCTGGAAGATGAGATAATGAATGAAAAGTCTTGCACCTACCCATGCCACTGAAAGAGAGGCAGAGCGCCACAGACGCAAATTCACAATGCCTTTATATGTAGGTACTTATAGGCTAAATATTTAAACAAATATTCCTCACAATAATCACATATGTTATGAACCTCTGTAACGATAAACGATGCATCTAACAACCATAGGTAAGCAGCATAGGTAAGCAGCCATAAGCTCTCTAGACCTCTAGATGAGGAATCATACCTCAGGGATTTGCTAAATACTATTGGCTAGACGTTGTAAGTACATATAATGTATATGAACTGTGAGGGCCTGCAGAATTCGATCATCTTCTTGGAGCAGCATCGCACGATTCTGTTAATTGTAACCAAGGAAGGAGTCAATGCATACTTCTGAAAAACGGTGAATGGAAAATCATCTCTACATCCGGCAGGACTCTGAACTACTTGAACTACCAACGTCATTGCCAATGCCGGTCCCGTAGCTCAGTTGGTAGAGCGTTAGACTTCGCGTGGTGAGAGCACGCGTTCCCGGTTATAACAGTCCGGGTTCGAAGCGCGACGGGTGCTTGACATTTATGGGCCTCCTGACAGGTATGGTTGCGGTTGGTGGCAGGCCGTAGCCAGGCGAAGTCAGTGAGGGGACCGGTCGACCGGTTTCAAAAATTTTTGATTGACACCGGTAGATTAACTTAGACTCTTGCACGCGGTAAACTTGCTCATGTGGCTGGTGACCGAGGTGGGTTGTGTGGCGGCTGACACCGACATCAGACTTTGGTGCCCGGCGGCCGGTGCCCGGCGGCCGGTGCCGTGGCGGCGGCCGGTGTTTTATCCCTTGGTTTACCCTTACCCAGACATGGTGCCTCGAGTTAAGTACATTGTGTGCTTTTGCATCATGTCTTATCTGTTTGTTCAACTTTATTTTTGCATGCCTTGATCAATAAACGAAGTGATGATGATGATGATGATGATGATGATGATGATGATGCGCGGCTATGTGCGCACGTTAAACTTTGGACTCTAAATTCTGCCATATAACTGAAATTGCGCGATCGGAAGGTAGAGGGCAGGGTCACCGCATCAAGCTTCGCTTAGCGGGGCCCTGTTCTTGTGAATCCTTCCAATCAAACACTTCGGACTAAATTAATAAAAAAGAAAATGTTGCACACCTTGTATACGTAGATATCGTAATGCCTGGAATTTTTGGGTATTCTCAGAAGAACACGTATTCCTACGAAAATTTCAGCCTTTGCCGGCACTCCACGTAATGCCTAGACATTTCATGAAACGCCGGATTTCACCTGATGCCTACGACACTACGACAGACGCGTTTTCTCGATTTTGATATTTTCTCGACTTTGATGAGCGCCAAGCGGCGTTTTGTATGCCATGTTTTACATATTTTGCTTTGACTTTCTATGTATTTAGACTCCTCAGCCATATAACTTTATCCGACTTGTGCTATTAAAACTCTAAAACAAAAGCGTTTCACACTATCGCAGTGCCGAAATGCAGGGTGAAAACCACCAAGCCACGCCATCCAAACGTTTCGCCTTTTCGTTTCACCTCTGGAAGCAGTGGGCAGCATTTGACGTCTGCCATGGACCTACCGCTGCTTTATAAACTGCCTTAGCTTTGCGCGATTGTTATCCTAAAGCGACATTCGTCCGCTGAACTGTTATGAAATGTTGATTGGTGAGTTGGCGAACGGCATACTGAGCTGGGACATCAAACATTGCTGCAGTTATGTCGTGAGTTCTGCAATGGTGATAATGAATACGCAGATAGCAAAAGTGAGGAAAAAATAGCTGTCGAGTTTTCTGCTCTACCTACATGTTTCAGCACTGAATTTCTATCTGAAGTTTATCGACGGGATGCCTATTTCCAAACAAATGGACTTTAAAGTAGCACTGTAGCGAATTCGTTAGGCCGGTTGGTTTGGCAGACAGGGCCGGAGCAATGAAGGGAATTAATGGACACCATTCGACCTCCTGTCCGCCCGCTTCAAGCTTCGGTGAAGTAAATAATTCAGGGAAAAGAATTGCTGAAGGCTCCAGTCCAACACGCAGGCAGTCAGCGAAACTGCTGAAAGGAGTCTACTAGTGTCTCGGAGCACATTCATACTGCACGAATACAGCACCCGGTTCAGAGCTAACTCAGTTTTATGACTCAACTAAGATTTTTTGAAGGGGTCATTAGCTGCTCTTTTATCGGCGTGAAGAAACCGCAAGCAAATAATTTCAAGTCGAACATTCGACCATGTTCTCGATTGTTTTTGTGAGCTCCTAAATGGAACCGAATTGACAACCGTCTTATTTTCTTGTTTGTTACCACGTACCAAAGAGCCATAACACAGAACGCAGCCGGAAATCAGTTCAGCGTGGCACATTGTTTAGTTTAACGTATCCCTACATGCGCACACATTCTGGTATCAAGTCGCCCGGCGTTGAGACCCAGCGTTGTTTACTGGCGTGAGTGCTGAGCCCGCGGACCGATACACTCTGGCCTGATTGGTATACCGCTCGGCCATTGAGCCATCTGCGGTCAATGGGTGCTCGTTGTCTCGGTCAGTGGTCCAATTTCCGATCAGCCCCGACACGCTCCACCGATCAGCCTGTTCTGTACAGCAGTGGTCCGAGGCGAGAACAGACCACCCTTCTCGGACGCCGCGCAACAACTAGTAATGGACCGGAGCAGGTGATACACAGACGCCAATCAAACAGCCCTTGCCCTCACACGCGCCGCTAGCGGTAGGCACACAAATAAACTCTCATCTGGGCTAGATATCGCTTAGCATTGGTCTAATTTGACAACCTGCAATTTACGTTCATTTATGTCAAAAATTAGGACGTGTTTGATTCAGGAGTTATACGTGTCAGGACGTCCGTCAAGCAGAGAATGATGCCTGTACTCGATACAGAACATAGGCGACATCGTGCAAGTCGTGGTCATTAACAAGTCTCTTTCTACATAGTAATTATGGTAAGTGCGTGGATAGGCGTCTGTATCAATATCGACGACTTAATTTACGCGTGGTCACACTAGGTGGAAAGATGTATGTAGGTTAAGTGGTCGGTAACCTGCACGCATATACCTACACCATAGACATGCGTTCCTCACATTAAGTACATAAAGCATCGGAGTATACACTATACACTGTACAATTGATTTGTGGTCATTTTTGCTCGCAGCCTGCGCTTCAATCAGAGCTGGTAAGCTATTAGCTTGACTGCAGCGTCTTAGAATCACCGACTACTTTTAAAATCGGCATCCTGTCCCTATATAGTAGGTTCGTAGAGCGTTTGAATCCCGGAGGCGGAGGTGACAGCTTGGGTTCGAGTCCCTCCGGCGCTCGATATATGAAACTGCTAACGTTGGCGGTCACTGGTCTACGGGCAGTGGGAGCAGTCGCGGTCGGCTAAAGTCAGTGAATGGGACGGACCGTGTCCGCTGATGTGGACTGTGGTCACGGTATACTTGTAAATTAGCTTGTAAGATATACTTGTCTATAAACAGCTTCTAAATTAGCTCAGAAATAAAAAAGTTCCAGTTGAATAATACAGTTGTTCTGTATTGGAAAGTTTTATCTTGAAATGAGTCATTAATACACGTGCACGCAATGCATTTTCTTCATCTGAAGTGTGGCTTTGGTCGTAACCTGCAACTGTGAGAGTTCAGCAGCACATAAGCTATGTTTCGCTTTATCTCATTCTGCTGCGATAATCAACTCCCATTAACCCAGCCAACACCTCTATTCATTTTGACTGCTTCTTAGTCTACGAGCGCGATAAAATAGCAGGACATGTATAAATAGAGCTCGTTCCGTCCCCCTTTTCTGTTCTCATCAGCCGGTCAAAACACCGCTAACAATGTGAGACTGTATTATCGTGGCACACTTGACAAGCACAATACCAACACGCTCGCCCCGCGACCACAAACAGCACAGCGCGGCTGACGCAGCCATGCACATCCCGCGTCATCAGAGCGTCATTAGGGCGTCATCCGGCGGCGGCGGCGGCGGAGCGGAGGCCCCTCCGGCTCCGCTCCCCGCCGCCCGGCTCGGGCCGGTCCGCAGAGCGCCGGCCGCCGTGCAGGACGGGCGGAGGTGCCCCGCCGGCCGGCCGGGCCCCGGTCCACGCCACCAGGCAGTCCGCATAGAGAGCGAGGGTGATCCAGCCTCGGTCACCGCGTCCCGGCAGATTGAGTGCTAAAGGTGCCGCCCGGTCGGCCCAGCCCCGGCCAGTCCGGCGCCAGCAGCCCAGCCTCCGCTGACCGGCCACCGGCTGACCGAGCCGACCAGGCTGCCCTCAGATCGGCCCACACGGGCCGTGTTTGTTAATCTGTTTATAATCTATCAGTCCTGGTCATCAAAATATCGGGGCCTCGTCCAAATGACTGGCCTGTGTTTGCGGCCCGGCGGTCTCAGTCTGGCCCTCCCTCACCCTTCCCGCGTTCCCCGGGTCGCTCGCCGTCCGCGCCCGCCCGGTGGTGCTCGCTGGACGGGCTCGGCGCGGCCGTTCCGGCGGCCGCACCGCCTCACGCGCCGCCCAGCCGTGGCACAAAGTGGTTTCCGGAGCGCACCCGTCGGCCGCGGGAGCAGCTGCCGCCGAACCGGCAGCCGGCAGAGCGCTTCACGTCGCCCAGGCGAGGCGCCTCCCAGTTGGCCCGCTTCGACATCCCTGCCGGAGACAGGCTGCGTTAGAGGCTACTGAGAGTGGTGGGCTACGTCAGAGGCTACCGAGCGTGTCGTGTTACCATGGACGGCGGATAAAGAAATAGACAGAATCATTTACAAGGCACGTTGGGATAGCAACACAACACTTCTAATAGACATCACTATTGAGTGACGTCCCTGTAAATTCATATTTGCGCCACAGGCACACTTCAGTGTCCATCTTCTACAGCTTCGTTTTTTCATGCGGCGTCACACTGGAACGTAATCATTTAATGATATTTCGTTGATATACAATGGAGCTCAAATATCAAAATTGGAAAACACACCTTTTGCCGGTGGACAGTAACTGATTATAATCAATTGGGTTTGAAGGTTTCAGATGCATTGGTTATTTGGAGGGGACTTTCGAAAACCATTCTGCTAATTGCACATTTACAACAGACCTCTCTGCGCTGCATGTAGCAATGGAAGTGAGCACATGGTGTTACCTCCACTCATCTGCTATTCATGCCACGTTCTCACACGCTGACAACTCGATTACAAGCCGACTTACGGCTGCCCGAGTGTTTTCCGGACCACTCTGTCACTGACCGTGACCAACCTATCTCCGTCCGTTACCCTCTGCCACCTCCACCCCTCTCAGACTACCTCCGCCTCTTAACCTTATAGGCCTACCCTGCCCCTTACATTCTGTCACTTCCGTCCATTACATTCAGACACTCCCGCCCTTCACCATCAGCCCTCACTCTCAGTCCCGCCGCCCCTTATCCGTCCCTCACCACCACAGGCCACAACCGTCCCTCGCCCCCGGCCCCGCCGTCCCTTACCCGGCCCCGCCGTCCCTTACCCTCGATCTGGTCGTCTGCCTGCGCCGGGAGGTCCTCCTGCTCGTCCTCGGCCCACGGCGCCGCCTCCTGCTCCATTTCCTCCAGCACCGACTTCTTGCCGACCCGCGGGTACGGGATCAGGCTCTGCCGCTTGTCCACGGCGCCGTCCAGCCGGCCCACCCGCGGGAACGGCACCAGGCCCATCGAGCCGCGGCCCACGCGCGGAAACGGCACCAGGCCCATGGCGCGCCCCACGCGGGGGAACGGCACCAGGCCCATGGCCTGGGCGCGGCCCACGCGCGGGAACGGCACCAGGCCCATGGTGCGGGACCGTTTGCCGACGCGGGGGAAGGGCACCAGGCCGAGGCTGCTGCGCCCGGAGCGGGTCAGCCCGTCCAGGGGCAGCTGCACGTACCGCGGCTTGTCGTCGCCGTCTGCCGGACAGAGGGGGCGGGGAGCGTCAGACAGGGGTGCGTCAGACAGGGTGCGGCAGACAGGGTGCGGCAGACGGGGTGCGGCAGACGGGGTGCATCAGACAGGGGTGCGGCAGACAGGGCTGGTGTGTAAGTCATCGGACGCAGAGACATGACAGGATCAGTTAGGGACTGCGGTATGATCTGCTGTATGTAGCTGCGTCGGACCGGTACGGGAGAATGATCCGTCGAAGAGCAGGGACAGGACTGGATGATTTCGTGTAACCTCGTCATAGTTGTTGACTTTCCCATGCAGTATATCTTCCAAGATAATGACTGACGCAAATGAGCTCGATACTCTACAAGATGTTGTCGGCAGAAGGTGATAACTGTGGCTACTGTGACATGAGTGTTTACATCACTCTCGCCAGCGATTACAATCAGAGCCTCTATGGCTTCAGCGATTGAAACACACGAAACACCTCAACATTCGAAGATGAGAAGCGATCGGTAATCGACGCGTATGGCTATTGGCCAGGGTCGGATCAGTAGCTTCAAATGGGTAGGTTAGCAGCTGATTCGGTTCCATATAAATCTTATAAAAGGTGTGTTATCAAATGTCATGCTTTTACTTCATTGGAGAGAAAGTGAAAGGAAGCGACATTTTGATAAATATATCATAAAGCAACCACATTGCCCAATAGATTCATTGAACATATTACATACGAGCACAATCTCGTAAGCACAATCTGTACTTTGAGACACATGAAACGGCAGCGCATTTCGTGCCGACATATTTTTTGCGCTACTGTGATCCAATCAGTCTCGTCTATATTTTTGGCTTTTAACTACTAGAATCTCTAACAATGACGCGAATGGGCGTTTCTAAACATTGGTGAGGGAAGATGGGATAGAAATTGCTATATTTTTGCCAGCTTTTTACCGGAATAAATCAATGAGATTCATGCTATCACTCATTATTTTTATCTTCAGCTGCTAATATGTATGAGCTAATATGCCTAGAATTATTTTGCTATGTGTGAGAAATGTAATAGAATAAAGACGTTTCAAAGTTCACGGTCTTCTAATGGCATCTGACAAAACTGCAAGGAAGAGCGCATTACATCTTACTGCCCATAACATCCTGGTATGGAGTCTGGACAGTTCAAACTCAAGGAACCAAAGAGTAAAGTAGCACCACTCTCTGGGTTTTGCTACACCCTATGACACGAGTCTCAGCATTGGGTCGCATATCTTCAGAACCTCATCAAACTGTTGTCACTTTGAGAGTGAGTTGTCGCCAAGTCTTCAACAGGCAGTGACTGTGAACTGATCACATTAATTCCACCACCGTATGCAGTTTGAACTGACCGAAAGTCTCCGCGCTGTGATTGTAAATGTTGCGGTCAATTTATGACTGTCGAAGGTGACTGTGCGTGGCATCTTTCACCGACCAGTGCATTGTTTAAGTACAGTGGAAGCTACTTTCACCGGACGTTTTACCTATTGATCAAATATTTCACGGCTCATACAACGTGACGATGTTTATTTGGTTGTTTGCTCGGCCTGCCTGTTCATAACGGTAATCTCTGATCAGCGAAAGGTGCTGTCAAGGGGGTGTGGAACAAGGCTTTGTCCGATCTGACACCAGCGTGCCCCCCACTCCCATTACGCTGATTAGGGCTGACTGCTGACGTACCTACTGCTCTCGATCGAACGCTGAAATGTCCACATCCTGTACGGTTAAAAAGCCAGACTGAAATTACGATCATTAAATAAATGGAGGGTGCAAAAAACATCGGAGCAGTAGTTGTGCAACAATTAATATCTTGACGAATTTGACGAAAACGCTGGTCTACAATGGTTTTATGAGATAGACTACAGGGTTTCTAAAACCTAAAAAGCCATTAACTCTGCGACACAAACGTCGCATTCCTTCGCCGGATTTATACACGGGCCGTCATAAGAAATTGCATCAGATCCGAAGGAGCCGCTGGTGGTTGGGCTGATTATCCACGGCTCGTCAAAGGGCACGGCGTCGCTGCTCCTTGTCTGACCACGGTGCACCCACTCGCGTTAATTCTGCATGGTGCCTACCGCCAATACGTTTGATCAATATCCAGTAGGTACCTGTTGGCAAACGGCCAGTCCAATGGCACTGCAAAGATCTACAGAACGATTTCCTCTATCTGGAGCTGGCTGCAACGAGCTTACAGACGGGCAAAGTGTCTCGGAAATATCGTGGATAATTATCAATTCATTTGTAAGTGTCCATAGAGCGCTGGCCATTTATTGTTCAGGGTATAGCGTTTGAGCAATTAACGACAAGCAGCCCGTTAATAAGGCGAAAGGTCGGTCGTCGGACACTCTTTTGTGATAAGCAATAAAAGCAAACATTAACCCGCGCACCGACGGGGGTCTGCGCCAACTTCGTACCGACGGGGGGGGGGGGCGGATGACCGCCCCCCCCCCTGAGATCTCGAGAATGAAGCAAGATAGCGACAAGCGGTAAACGGCATCGGATACGCACGGACAAGGTCTACAATTTTTACAAAGGTCATTTTCAGGTCAGGTCAAAGATGACGTCACAGGGGTCAAAAAAGTCAAAATGGCGGCGCTAGATATGGGGAGAGTTTTTCTCGAATAACTTTCGAACTAGTCAAGATAGGAACAAACTAAGGGCACCATCGTGATCCTCTCGTCAATCTGCATCGAATGATGTATATGTTGACCTCGAAAGGTCAAGATCAAAGGTTGACCTCAGGTCACGTGACCTCGAGGTCATCATATATATCATTCGATGCGTCTTGACGAGCTGAACACAATGAGACCATCCGCGCGGCTGTATCTTGTTCCTGTACGGAGTTATTGGCAAAAAACCACTGGTGACCTTTGATGACGTCACATGACCTTACAGCTGCCCAACAGCAAAACAGACCTCAAGGTAGTGAAGGTTGATCGTATATGAAGTCATGTATGGTATATGGGGCCATTCCGACCCGTTTTAGTGGTAAAAACAGGGAGTTGATTTTTTCCCATTGACTTATAATGGGGAGGTCGCGAAATTGACCTGACCTTAGGTCACTGACATCAAAATTCCGAGATATACAAATTGTAGCTACTAATGACCTCATAACATCCTGCGACTTTCAAAGGCTTCCGACATCTACTGTAGCTCTGGCACGGTGACAAAGTTGCAAAAAAGTGATTTGAGGTTGGGTCATTCAAAGTGACCTGGTGACCTGACCTAAAAAGTTAGGAGGTTCAAACTTGCACACCATGTGTAAAATTGATGAGAGAATAGTCGTACCAAATTTCGCGGCGCTACACGCCGCGGTTTTCCCGCTATTCGCGAAAAACCTCAGGGGGGGCGGATATCCGCCCCCCCCGTCGGTGCGCGTGTTAATACAACCCCGACTAATCTGAATTCATTGGATAGCCTGTTCATATGCTTGCAGGAAGGCAAATCGTTTGCGAATGAAAATTGCCTCCATTGGGCTCAATGGTGATGGTGATACAGGATTCGTATCCCACAAGCCTATGGCTACTACCACAGGACAGTAAGGCTGCATAGCTCAGACAGGCTGGATGTCAGATGTGAATGGTATGGACAATATTGTATTGGAAGGCGGGGAGGAAGGGTGCCAGTGCAAATTCTATGTTCAATGCTTGATACATCGACAACGTGTTTCAGGGAAGGTGTGGCCCGAAATAGACTTCTTGTGGTTTTTCGAGAACAAAAGGAAAACTGCTATGAAGAAAGTCTGTTTCAAACTGCTCACAAGTGCATGAGGAATCGAAATCCGGGGAGTTTTTGGAAATTGGAGAAACCTTTTCGGGAGTATGCTCCCCAGCAAAGTCCCAGATCGCCTTTCCATGGATCCGTCAGCGGTTTACTGATATGTGTTCTGGTAGGTGGTAGCTCGGCTGCCAATGCCGATAACCGAAAATGCACGTTACTTAGGCAGGACGCATGCGATTTAGATAAACGTTCACCACATATATTCTTAATCAGTCACACGCCACTTTTCCATTATGTTCTGCTACCCTCGACCAGACTCATTTATTCCTTTGACTTGAACGGGATAATTTAACGCAACAATTTCTAGCCAATACCTAGAAAATTTCAACTTTTGGCGATGATTACGATGATATATAATGCAAAAACCATGTACCACTTCTTCCCTTTTATTTTCTCACCACCCAATACTTGTATGTTTGTTAATGTCAGAAACAATATGTAAATGGCTTGTCATTCATTTGAAATTAGGTTACAGCCAGAAGTTGTTTGTCAGAGACACTTCATACAGATACAGAACGTTAATAGTTTTCCATAGACCCCTACACATCGATATATGGTGTCTCCCATTCACACATGTCTAAAGGCAATACGAAGGCAATATGTGTCACTTAAGACATAGGTACACAATACACATACAATCAAAATGCACAAAGCTGTGTGTTTCATAATGCTTGCTGTGATATCGGTGACATTCTCTATAAACAGTGAACGTCCCGGGGACCAGACCCCTGCGACCTTCCGGTTTACAAGTGCAGTTGTTTTCGCTCACTGGTTGCGACGAGGCTGTTGTTGTACGCTAGTTGTTCCCATTGATAAAACGTACATACGTGGCGATAAGCGTACAGTTAAATATGCAGTGTTTGTGTCACTCTTTGGCCATACGCAGCAACGAAACAGAAAGGCTGTGCATTGTGCAAAGCGACTTCTAGTTCTAGGTAGCTCAATCCTTGAGCCTCAAGGTGAAGACAAAGTTAGGGTCAAAACTCGAGTCCACAAGCGGTCCAAGTGAAATTACAGCCCTCGGCTATAAAGAATAGGCGTTTCGGTGTCAATTGGCAAAGTGATAACATTTTTAAACTACATTTTTTAATTAAATATTTACATAACATATTAAATTATAGTTTTAAGAAATAAGACCTTTATTGGTTGCATCCTGTTCCTCAATTTGAATTGGAGCCTCGCACTTATAGGGGGTCAAACTGACCCCCCTCTTTTTTTAAAAAAAAAACTCGCGCAAATAGCGGCTGATCGTGATGAAACTTTCAGTTCCCTCGAGTTATTCAATTTTACAGCTACCCTGAAAATTTCATGACCCTGACTCAAATGACCTTTGACTTGTGACCTACTTCTCGAGATCATGTTTGGCCGGAATCGCGATTCGGCGTATGTCGGCCCACATTAGCCACGCGTTTGCAGTCTTTTTGTGATTTTAAACGCTCAAACACGAGAAATGATATTGGTCCCATGTATAATGGTGGGTGTTTAGGTCACGTAAAGGTCAGATCAGGTAATTGACCTTTCATGACCCTGGTTCATTCTTTCGAGTTTTGTATGCTCCCGGGTAGTTTTTGGAGCTGATTTCGAATTTAGGAACCATTGGAACATTAACGAAGTAGTTCAGTGCCTTCGTAAATGTTACGAAGCTGTCAGTGATGGTTAACACCTACTTTGAATATCCGGCAGGACGCCTACTGGTTGGCCTGACCGGACCTGACCCAACCTGGCCCAAATGCATGAAAACATCATCTGTGATCAAAACTAACATGAAATTCGTGATCAGCTCCCCGAAAAAAACCCTAAGCCAACCTCACTTTACGCAGTTCTGACAGGTCCTGATTTTCCCGACTTTTGGGTCATTGAGCTAGCCTGGAAGGTCAGCCAATTACCTAGAACCTTAAAATTGGGTACCATCGGTTTCCGCTGGTCACGGGCAGCACGTTTTTTTCTGAGAAGCTCTAACTCGATCAGGGGCCGAACGGCAAGGGACGGGATCAAACGGACTCCCCCTCTAAATTCGCGGCTGGTAAGACACAAATGCGGGCGAGGGTTAAAGCTCGACTTATTTACACTTGCTGTCATTCCACCGCGCTGACGTGCATCAAATGCAAACCCAAATCATAGGTATTTGGTGTGAAAAATGAGTATATAATTAGGCAAAATAACCATAAACAGATGCACCAAAAGCAAATAAAACTTATCCGAGTGCAACACTTACCAAGCGAATACAAAGAAGAAGACCATGAGTAAACATAACACTTTGTCCAAAGTCGCAGTCGACACCGTCCTGTTGAAAGACACAAAATAACCGCGTTGATGCTTTTGCTGAGCAAACGGATAACGATTTTAGTGGTTCAGAAACATTTTTGCTTGTGAAGGTAAATCATTCTAAGCCTTCTAATGGGGAGACAAGGTTTGGAGCCAGCCCAGCCAAATTTGCATTGAAAGGCGTTCAGACTACATTGTTCTGGCCTTTTATCTATAAGTGCAGCAATGGCACTTGATAACACTTAAGAATGATAAGCAAGTCAGATAAAGAATGATCAAATGGTGTCGGCTTGTCCAGCATTGCGACCAAAACCAACGTGGATATTTTTGGGTTTCGGAATGCAACTACTCAGTTTTAAGGAAGTCTCGAATGTCAAATGTAAAAAAGCAATATCCTACGTGGTTTTACATTTTTATTCATTTTTGTCTTTATGTTTGTTTTAAATGTTTGTGTGCGTGCCGACATGCAGGCTGGGCCTGTGCCAGGGCGAGGCCAAGCAGTGCTTATGTGTTTGTTGATGTGTTTGTTTTGCTAGCTGCGGACCGGTTGGTGGCTAGTGAACAGTGTTTGTGTGTTGGCTGATGTGTGTTTGCTGTGGACCTGCGAGCTGAGTGACTGTAAGTGAGCAGTGTTTGTGTGTGTGTGTTTGTGTTTGTAGCTGACCTGCGGGCTGGGCGGCAGTCAGCGCCAGGGCTTCACTGGTTTGTATAGGTAGTGTTTGTATGTGTCTTTATGTGTTTGTTTGCTAACCTGCGAGCTGGGCGGCGGTGTCAGGTGAGCAGTGTTTGTGTGTGTGTGTGTTTGTGTGTTTGTGGCTGACCTGCGGGCTGGGCGGCCGTCAGCGCCAGGGCGGCGGCCAGCAGCAGCAGCCGGCCGGCGGCGGGCGAGCAGGGCAGACCGGCCATGCTGGGTGTCGGCGGCGGCGGTGAGCGGCGAGCACTGCTGGCTCTCGACGGCCGCCGCCGCGCTACATCAACCCCGCGGCGAGCACGTGGGCCGCAGCGCCGCCCCGGCGCCGCCCATTGGTCGACACTCCGTGACGTCACGCGGCGACCCGGCCCGGTCAGGATCTGCGACCCACGTACCCTGCATCGGTCGGCTAATTGTCTGCTCAATTGGGAGCTGCTGAGCCCCGGCGCCGCCGTAACGAACGCCGCCGAATCGCCGGTGCTTTGTGAGCCTACATTGCCGATGCCGGTTAGCGTCACGACTTGATCACATGCTGTGCCCCCTCTCCCTCCATTCGGCCTCCCGGCCGCCCCGCCGCAGCTTTGGACCGCCCCTGCCCACACTGGGTCCAGGCACACCTAATAGGAGATGACGGATATTGCTATTCTTACATGCGGGTCACAATTTATGGTGCGTGTGCACGCCGGTTTTTTTTTATGTCGCGGAAACGGTCCAGCTCTGACAGTTCGTATTTTCATATCTTTTTGGTCCCTTCAGCCCTTCAGAGCTCCTGCCGTGTTCCATGTGGCTATTGACCTGAGCCTATATGGTACCACTGGCGGCAAGTGCATCGCGTAACGGCCCTGGAGTTTCCTAAATTCTCAGCTGTTCCCTCGCTGAAAGTGCCACTCATTGGCTCCCAGCACGGCCGCTATGGAAAAAGCTTTTCGGGCGTTATTAGCAGCTGGTAGCGATGCGTCGAAAAGAGCTTTGTTGGAGAGAGTGTGAGCGCGGAACTTAGTTGTAAGCACGCAGTCGCGTTGGGTTTGGGTTCTAAAGATCCTATAATAGTGTTGCAAGTCATGAAAAGGAGCGTTGATTAATGAAAAGCCTTGTGCGCCTTGACTCTTCAGTTAGCAAGGCGTAATTGTAAAAATCGCGTTTGACTATAATCGCGTTTGTGGCTGCATTTCGTCGGCAAATGCCAAATGCCAAATTGCTTACTTGCCCCATAACTTAATTGCGTCTCGGATAGGCGATCGGTGTTTTCATCAGCAGCCTATATGCGTAGAACTAACCATGCTACAATTCAGATGATAAACAAGTACGGAAGTGGACGGTGAAACGACACTCTTGATTGAGAAACCAGTATTTTACTACGGAAAGATGTCTGTTCCCAGTTCCAATTGATTATTTTTGACGCGCGAATCAAAATAGCCATGTGTTCATGGATGATTGCAAGATGTTAATACCTACATACATACATACATACAATTATATTCACTTGGTATCTGTGAATGCATTTGATTCATGTTTCTTACTTACTCGCGAAACCGGTCTCATTAGCAAAAAGTCACTCTACCCTCTAACTCAGCCGCGGAGGGCACTTAATCGGAACTGAAATAAAACTTCAATTTTTGTTTTAGAGTAAAATAATATACATATGTGCAAGTCGGATTATTGCCTGCGTAGCTATAGGAGTAGTCACCGGCAGTCATGCTTCTTACGTTTGAAGAGATACTCCGCACCTGTTTACGTACAGTAGTGTTTTCAGCTGTTGGACGGATTATATGGCTTCCGTGATTGAAAAATGGGACCTGAGGGGACTAAACTTCTAACGAAATGGTCTTGATGCTCACGAGCGGGTGGTCACATCACTGAAACAGCTCTCTTTCAGCAGCATTTACGACCGATTCGGGGTTTATATTTCCACGAAATGGTCTGCATGTACTAACGTTAGACCGAACTTGTTTCTGATTAAGTATAATCAGCACCCATGATGAAAAAGCACATAAAAACTACATAACCACGTAACTTTTGCTGTAAATCACATTTCGTTCGCTAGTACAAACCTCCCGGTTTGTAAAAACAAAGCTGCATCCGGCAATTTTAACAACTCATTAAAGTGACAGGTATGTACGGTTGTTACTTGTTGATCAGGATTTAATCACATAGATCAAATTCAACCATGCACGAATTTGTTGCCGATCACGAAACAACGAACTTCATAGAGTGGGTATCAAACTTTTAAGCTGGCATTTGTCTTTAAATGAATTATTGCGGCTCTTAACAGCATAATTGGCGCAAGTAAGTTTTACGTTTGCCTCTTTGATGGCATGCTTAACGAAAAAAAAATCCACAGTCCCCACTGAAGCTAGCAACTTCTGTTCTGCAATTTCATCCATCCGGTATCAGTTACGCACGGTTGATCCCATGCAATTATTACACATCTCCGCTGACACGAGTCTCAAAAGGTCGCGTTTAATTCGTGAACAAGCACCGCTGCATAGGTAACCCCGTCCTCAGGGAACTACACCGCAGCCTCTGTACAGAGTACAGTGGCCCGTAACACTGGCGTAATCCCTTCCCCGGACTGCCCTCTGTGACGTGCAGCCATGTTACCTGTCTGAATACGTACCGCGGCCCTGATCGGCGGGTCGAGTCAGTCCCCAGGCCGCAGACGCAGGCAGGGCACTGGTGCAGTTTAGGACATCAGCAGTGTGGTAACGTGATGTGGGATCTCTTGAACGCAAGCAGATACGTACATATAGTGTGAGAAAGCTTTCTACTAGCGCATGAATAGTTCGCCTCAAGCGCAAGGAAGGATGACCAAAAAAGTAGACGACGGATAATGGTATCCAAAGCCCACTCCCAAACGTATGTTAAGGTAATTTAAAACATCTTAAAACAGCATACCCTTGTTTGGAACTTAATCGTCGCAAACGTCAGGTAAGCCTTTCGGACTTCCCGGGCTGCAAAAACGCGGCATTCAGCACAACACAATTAAAATGAATTCTGTCTGACAGAACCTGGCAATAACTGCAAAAATTGGAAAGCCTTAGGAAACGCATTGGAACATTTGAATGAAAAGCATTTAAATTGTTTTTTTGGAGTGTTTCATGCTTAAAAACAATTTGTATTCCATCGATTCTTCCCCAAAAGTCTAAAGTTCATACACAAGAACTAGAGATGTCAATCGCATACCAGCTTTTTGGTATACCGATAAAAAATCGATACGGCAACTTGGGGTTTGGTATTTCAAGGCTAAAGCATTTGGTATTTTATTGGTAGGTATTTTGAATCCTAACTAATGTAAAAGAGGCTGTTTATTCGGTAAAAGGTTGGTATTTTTCTCATTTTCCAAAGTCAGTTCGGTTTCGGCATTTTCTCACAGTTATTGTTGGTATTTGGTTTGGTATCGGTATCACGATTTTCCGTGTTTGGCATCACTAACAAGAACTGACTTTTCGACGGTTCAATGCTTCGGACGTCTTTAAAAAGCAAGAACGGAACCGCAGACGTTTATATATTCTTTATGGATGTCAGCCGTTTTCACGACGGCTATCTTTCTAGTTGAGGTTTATTTGCCATTGGGTCTACAGTGCAGGGATATTTCTATCTCGCACTCCTCTGAGATGCAAAGATAAAATTTTGTTATCTCTGCATCTCTCTGAGATGCAAAGATAAGGTCTCGAGGGTTCATAGCCAAAAATTCAAGAGTTCAACTGATGATGAGTCAATAACCCAACGGCATTTTTAATAGCTGTTTATGTACGAAACTTATGAAATAAAAACAAACTACAGTAAATCTTTTTTACATAGATGAAAACATTTAAATATAACATTAAATTAATTAAGAATAAACCTCAACATAGAAAGATATAGGATTCCTCATGGCTCACTCGTGGAAGATCGGATATCTTTTCCTCGCGTGTTACAGAAAAACCTCGCTCCTTCGTCGCTCGGTTTTTCAGTAACCCGCTTGGAAAAGATATCCTTATCTTCCACTCGGAGCCATGAAGAATCCTCTATATCTGGTACACAGAAGGTTCACATTTGGTGCAGATTTGGTGCATATTTGGTCAAATTAGGTGCATTGTGTTTTTGAGACGTTGCCAGTTTGGGTTGCACAGTGTCTATTTGTCAAATTATCATGAAGACATTATTTATATTTTAATCTTCAAATTATTTCATGGTGTGAAGATATTTCTTGAAAAAGAAATTAGGTGCATATTTGGTCAGACCTGGTGTATTCCTCAGATAACCCGTCGCGAAAACGGCTGTTAATACGTTCACATGCATTTGAATGGTCGTGATATAAAGATATTGCCGAAAATATTAAGTGTTTATGCTGCGATGGCAAATGGCATATCATCCTTGTAGCAGATCATAAAATGTTTTTCTTTTGTACTTGAGTGCCTAGATATTTCACATTCTTTTCCATTGCATGGAATTGCCGAATAGAATGCGCTCAAATGTTTTTGAACGGTTAATTTCTGCAGAAATTGCTATTGGAGTTACATTTAGACTGTATAGTCAAATTTGTTTCGCAGTTTCTTTTTACATACTATTTTCCAAACGCCATTCATTTCCATACTATATCCAGATATTCTTCAGTACGTATAAGCTCCTCCAACGCCTACGCCTATATATGGCATGTGTCTCACGCGGCTCCTACCACGTCATATCAATGGAGCCACACTCCCGTCCAGGCGCTCCCGCGTGTGCGTCCGATGGGGGAACACGGGTATAGTGTGTAAGTACGGCGCAGTGTTGCCGCTGGGGCTGATATGTCCCTGGGGTGGCCGACTGGGCAGCGGACCTACCGGGCACTGACGGTAGCCACCTTGGGGTGGCGCTGACCGCCAGCCTGGGCCACTGAACGCTACCCCCTGACACTGAACCCCACGCTGCGCTATTGTCCGTCGCTCAGTGCTTCTGTTCGCCACCTTGTTCGTTATTTTGAATCGCTGATCACCTCCTGCATCACTTCTCGCTGCTCCTCGCCGTTCCCTCACCAAGCGCCACTGATCGTACCCTGTTTATATTGCTGTCCGCCGTGTGGTTGGGCCGCTGTTCGGGTGGTCAGAGCAGAGTGCGGCCCCACCGCAGAGCCATAGGTCATCACCTGCACCCGCTGCCGGCGCGGCGGCAGGGCCCGGGGCGTGGGCGCAGCAGGGGCCGGAACGACACCCCCGGGACAGGGGCGGCCTCACCGCGTGATGTGATGACTATGCCCGACATGGAAGTAGGCTATGATTTCTGACCTG